GATGACTGCAGAAAGTCAGAGAGGCACGGACCATCAGTTCCATTTTTGCGAACTAGTATTGATGAGGTCGACGTTTTAGCGAAGACAATGGAACTTGATGAGAGTTAACTGCGTTGACATTGAATTCGCATCAAAATATGTGTGTTGGTAAGAGTTTTCGCAACGAATTGGATTGCATTTGCACTAACTCAAAAATATTTTGCGGCTTTACGTTGCAGACATTTGCACACCTTCAACCGGTCACTTTTCACATGAGAAAGCTCGATCCACCCTCAGAGGTTATTCTCTTTCTCCGATTTCCATCTCATTTTTTTGCGCAATCCACAGCCGACCCTGTTATTTACACGTACCAACTATCATTAACACACTTGTTTAGCTGCAAATTGGACATGTTTGTAATTTTACTTCCGTTTTTTACTACAGCAAATTTTAAATCTGTTAGTAAAGGGCCGAAATAATGCGGAAACAATGAAACTTACATTGGTGGCTTCGTTGAAGAGATCGTTGAATTCAGCGTAGTGCTCTGAAAGATTTTCATTCTCTGCGACACCTCCAAACAGCGTTGGTTGAGGCACAGACAGAAGTGGAACTTGAACAAGTGTGGTAGGAATGGTCTCTACTATGGGAAAGTGAAAACTGGCATCCACGTAGTCCTCATCGCCGATCCCGGCCAAAGCGGCGGCACAACAGCTCTCTTGCTGGCGCGTGACCTTAAGGCCAACCAACCGATGATGGAAATAAAATTTAGCGATACCTTAGGTGGAAGGTAGATATAGTGCCCTGTTTGTCTGTTGGCTTTTTTGCAGTTAGTTGGATGGGCTGGACTGTGGGCTTTGCCAGCAGTCCTGATCCCGTTCTGTTATTTACACTTATATGTATAGTGTCTTAAGCATTATGTTTTCCATTGCCTACAAGAAGGTCTCAAGAGTATACAATGGGTACTTGTTTCTGTATTATGCACTCTGAACTGAAGACTCCTCCCAGTTAACTTCCAATCGGTAAGTATTCAGTTTAGCATCGCAGTTTTCCGATCGAATGAAAGACAATTTTGAATCAACAGGGCTCTTACACCTTCAGTGAATGATTTGTCCAGCACCTAAGCCATGAAGGACGAAGGATAATGACGTGAGCAGTGCCACTGAACAGATGCATTGCAACGTCCACTAAGAGCATAAATCCACCCAATTTCAGTAAAACATCAGCCAAAAGCAATTGTCTGGTATCTTGAATGCTCGAATATCGGGTTTGATCTCAAAAGCAGAGATACGATGTCATTCGAAGACAAAAG